ATCAGGAAGCCGCTTCCCTGAAGACTAATTCCCATTAATATCAGAACAGATGATGCAAAGTTCCAAGGGACAAAACCAATTGATGAGTCTATTCAGCTGTAAAGTCTATGAACCCAACAATGATCATCCCAACCAATAACCTCCACTGGTGCAGTAGTAACACTTTTATCTTATGATTAATCAACAGCTATCCATTTAGACTTAAGGCCTGCTCAGTGGAAGGGAACTCATATGTGATGCTGTAACGTAGCCAAAGGATATGGCTGCAGAGGGCATACATTCTAAAGAAAAAGCTACTTTTGTCAGTCACATCCATGGACCAATACAATTTCTTATTGTATTCTGAATATGTACCCTTATAATCACAGACTAGTGCACCTCTCACAGCTCATCAAGAGAAGTTTCTTTTTGCAACAGATGGAGACTATTACTAAGTTCTACAATTGGTCAAACACAGAGAATAAGCATCTGTGTGGTGCCCAACCCTACAGGACACATCTACAATGCAACCTCTACACCTAACACTCAGGGAATGTAGCAGAACAGGGTCAGAAAGACTATTAATGCATCTCTAAATTCTCTCAAATGAAGATTCCTCATGCAACAAATGGTGATTAACCCAGAAAGCCACAAGTGTCCAAGGTGCAGAGAATAAGAGACTGCAGAGGGCTTGTCCCTGGATATGCCATCTACATCAAACCTCTACCACCCAAGGCTCAGGGACCATTGCTGAACAGGGGTTGGAATGACTGTAAGAGCCAGAGGTGGTGGATATCCATAAGGAAAAAAAAATGTTCCAGACAGTTGGGAAGTTACTCATATGAACATACAGCAGCGGTAACAGCATGCACAAGACCCATGTAAGCTCAAGCCAGACAAAAACCCAGCAGTAATGGGGGAAGCCCCAAACTTTGATGAGAAACTGTTGGCAACTGATAACTATGGGAAGAGGAAGAATTGGTTTTGTTTATGACGTTGTACAGTAAATCTTGTAGGGGGCTAAAAGAAGGATGCGGTGAAGCAGGGTCTACATATGATCAAAACATTGTATAAATTTTCAAAAATTCAATTTAAAGAAAAGAATCGATTAGGGACTTGAATATTCATATATCTCAGGAGCAGAGAGTCAGGAGAGGAACTGATAAGGAAATGACCAGCTATATCAGGCACTAGGGAAGGGTAAAGAGAAAGGGGCCTGAAGAAATTCCACTGACAATTTATCTTTGTTAGGGCAACTTCAGGAGAGAGGCAGAAATAAAATCAGAATGCTTTCAAGAATGAGTTAGAGAGTTACAGCAGGGGAATGGAGGGAATGATTATTGCCCATTATGAGAAAAAACACTTGAAATCACTAGATTTACAGCATCACAAAGAAAAAGAATGCATACATGCTCCTGCTGTGTTTTGCTTGCTTGAGTTTTGAGTTTTCTTTGTAGTACAAGGAAACATCCAATGAGCAGAGAATGAATAAAGACACAATGAAGCAAAATGACAATTCATAGGGGTGCTCATAATGACATTTTGCCTCCACATGGCTCCATTCATATGATATTTCACACACTTGTCTCTATCCTCTACACACATTAGACCATCTTATTCTTACAGGACCTCCTATAAGGCGATTAATATTAGAATGTTCATTTTAAAGACAGAGAAACAGGCTTTCAGAGGCTCAGTGCCTCACCAGATGTCAAGAATGAGCCTGGATAGACGAAGCTGAGATAGTGTTACCTTACCTACTAGACTATATTACTAGTACCTACTACACTATATTACTAGTACCTACTAGAGTCTAGTACCTACTAGATTATATTACTAGTACCTACTAGATTATATTACTAGTACCTACTAGACTATATTATTTTCAAGGACTACAGAAGGTAGTAAACGGAATACTTTCTGTATTAGTTGCTTTTCTATTGTTGTGATAAAACAAAGCAACTTATGGAAGAGCTTATTTGGCTTATGGTTCCCGAGGGATAAGAGTCCTTCATGGGGAGAGGCATGGCAGTAAGCGGCATGCCTGGAGACAGGAACTAAGCTCAGAGATTCCTTCAATAGCAACACAAAGCCCAGAGAAAGCCAACTGGAAGTGGGCTAAGGCTGTGAATTACCAAAGCCCACCCCCCATGACACACTTCCTCCTGCAAGGCTACACCTCCTAAAGGTTCCAAGATCTCTCCAAACAGTGCCACAAACTAGGGGCCAACTGTGCAAATACCTGAACCTGTGGGGGACATTTCTCATTCAAACAATCATAACTTCCTCTTACAGAACGAAGAAAGAAAGGAAGCTGTATAAACTGGATTAAGACAAGATGAAAAAGAAAACCTGTGCGTATCATCATATGATGACGTGCGATGTCATATTATAGACTTCTGTTGTGAAAGTAAGAAAAGAAACAATGAATTAGGTCAGAGTTTTAGATATGAGGAGTTTCATGAAAATTTAGAAGGATGCGCTGCAGTTTCGACAGAATGAAATATGCTGTTTGCTCACAGCCCCAGTCAATGAAAGCCTTACAAACTGAAAAGTCAAGTCAATGTACATTTCCAGAGAGTCCTTCAGACAAAAGAGTGGGAAGATTTGTTTCCGAATGAGCCTTGTATATAAGGTTGTAAGACCAAACTTAGGAATAATATTCGCTCATTGGGGGAAAGTCACCTAGATGGCAGATTATGTTTCCAATTCCAGGCAAGAAAGTTAGTCAAGTAAAAAAGAAATATTGAGGCCGGGTGTGGTGGTGCATGCCTTTAATCCTAGCACAGAGGCAGGAGGATCTCTGTGAGTTCAAGGCCAGCCTGGTCTATGTAGTGAGTTACAGGACAGCTGGGGCTACAGGAAGACCCTGTGTCAAAAAGACAAAAAAAAAAAAACAACAACAACAACAAAAAGCCCCACAAGATGATCTCTGAGGCAATCAACTTAAAAGGAGAAAAGGCTCATTCATTGTGGCTTTAAGTTTTGGATATTAGACCACTACTATGGCAAATGTTGATAATCACAGATATTAAATTTGGTAAATAATATGTCTTAATAGGAGAGAAATGGATGTATGACTAATCAAATTTTCCTTTGATAAATATTATCTTACAAAAGGGTGGTGATTGTTACTGCTATTTTGGATATGAATTCTTTTTTTACTCAGTATCAATAAATCTTAGGCCCTAAAGACAGTATCTATTAATGAAGCCTGCCTAGTTTATACACAGGTTTTACTTTTTCTGAAATAGGTTCTTACTATGTTGCCTGTGCCAATATCAAACTCCTGGGCTCAAGTGACCTTTCTACCTCTGCCTCCCACATAGCTATGACTACAGACCAAACAAGCCATGGTCAAAATATGAATAAAATACTAGAATTATCCTTGTTAAACAATTACAGTAAGTACCGGTAAGACATCCAAAGATTAAGCTGCAGCATAAAGCAGATAACTATAAATACAACTATACCCCATTATACATGATAATTTATAATAGCTACATTGTTAACACAATTAACTCTCATAACTCGTGGTTTTTATATGCACTGGCAAGAATTAAACTACAGAAAATTTCAAATAGCATAAAGTCATTTCAAAATATACTTTCCCAAGTAAACTTCTTTTTATCAAAAATAAAGAGACAGAAACAACCAAAATACATATGGAAACCCTAAACCTGGTTGAGAGAAAATGAGTATTATTAAAGTTTTTAAATTCATGATCAATTATTCATTCATTCATCACAGGTGACATAAAATATAAAAAGCTAGTTCCTTTTTGTATTCACGTCCACTTTTCAGATTATTGTGCTTAGATTAGGTTTATCAACATTATTTTTTAAATATTTTATTTATTATTTTTATTTTATGTGTATAAGTGTATTGCCTGCATGTATGTGAGTGCACCTGTGTTGTGCAATGCCGCGGAAGTAAGAGGGCTTCAGATTCCCCTGGAACTGGATTTAAGGATGGTTCATCGCTACCATGTGGGTGCTGGGAATGAATAAAATCTCAAGGAATTTTGTTCAGTTACCTCTTAAGAGATGTCCTTGGTTTATTTTCAATGGTAGATATGCATTACATTGGAGATAGAGAATTTTTAAGTATTTTATTTGTTATTTTTATTCTATGTATATGAGTGTATTGCCTGCATGGGTGTAAGTTCACCCATGTCATACAATGACCACAGAGGTCAGATGAGGGCACCAGATCCCCTGGAACTGGAGTTAAGGACAGTTGTTAACTGCCATGTGGTTGCTGGGATTCAAACCCGGTCCTTTGTAAGAGCGTCTAGTGTTCTTAACCACTGAGCTATCTCTTCAGCCCCTAGAGAATTTTTTTAGATGAATTATTTTAAAATACTACCTTCCAAAGTCAATCATGAATATTTTAATTTGTTTTTATTGGATTTTTATATATTTAATAGAGAACATCTCAAACATACTTTTTATAATACATATAGTATATACAAGGGCATATGTGTAGTCTAGGCCTGAACACTTATATATGTAAATATAATGGGACATATAAATCATTACTATAAACTATTAGGCAGATAGGCACAGTACAAAATAAAATGTTAATGACACTTTGCAGATACCTGCAGTAATTCTAGGTGCTTCTTTGCTTGCTGCCTATACCTATGTATCCTCAACAAGGCACAACTTATAAAAAATTGAACTAAGAGAAGAATATAAATTAATACTGGCATTAGGTAAATTTCCAGACATTTCCTTGGTGTTTGCACATTGAGGCTGCACATGAAACAATGAGGGCACTGATAAAGACTTAAAAAGAAAAACATATTTCTGCTCTTTCTCAAAGGTACTTTCTTTGTACCTGTGTACAAAGTATTGTCCTTCAACTCAAATATTTAATATTTCTAATACATTCAAGTTTTAAATATGTAAACATCTAGAAATTTTATCTAGAGTTCCTATTACACATAAGTTTTAGAAGTTAAGCATCTTAATGGTTCATAGCAAAGAGCAAGTCTCATTTGGGTAAAAAATTCTCACCTTAGTGTATGTGTTCTGACTAAGGAAAGTGGGAGAGTTTTCCTGTTCATCCCTCAGTGAGAAGGAGGACAGATGACTGAAGGGTCCTGGGGTTAGACAGTCAGAGTGTGAGAGGGTCTGTGGATGCAGCAGGGACTTAGCTGGAGGGTAGAGTTTAGTCTGGTATAAAGGATGAAGAGAAACAGGCTTGTGAGGGATGGCCACGTCCTAGGAAGAAGAAAGGCACAGGATACGTTAGTGCATGCAAGTCAAGTACACCCCATGACTTACCTATAACAAATGCATATCAGAACCTCTGGCTCATAGGAAAGTGTCCCTCACAAGACACTTGCTTTCACAGTGAAGATTTTGTCTCTTTCAGTAATTTCACTCAGTCCCACCTCTAGCCTCTCCTGCAAAGCAAAACAAGGGCCTGAAGAACATTCCCTGATGATGTGGCTTGTTATTTTTGAAAGTACCTAGAAGAGAAATGTAAAAGGAAGGTGGGTCTATCCTAAAAGCATTGGCTGGGTTTAGACAAGTCTCCACTGAAGAGAATCCAGCGGTGAAGTTATTATCCAGCATTGAAGTTCAAGGACTCACCTGACTTGTCCTGGAAGAGATACCACAGGGCAATGAGGAAGCATTGATACCAAGGAGCAGCTCAGAAGCACTGCATAAATTCATTTAAGCTAGGAAAACAGTTAAGCATGGAAACATGGGTAAGGGATCAGCTGGAGGGGAGTCTAGAAGGAACGAAACTGCAGCCAGGCCCAGGCAGTGTTATCTTGGAGAGATAAGAGTTCAGCTTTAGAGGAGCGCTCACCTAGGACAGATTGTTCACACGGAAAAGGAATGGATGCAAGACTTTGAAGAAGTAGAAGCCAGTAAATAAGACCAGCAATTATATAAAAGGATCAAGAAATTCACAAAAGTGAGAAGTTTATAAGGAAAAGTTGCAAGAGCCTACATACGCATATGCCTCTATAAGCACAAAGGGACAATATTTGCAAATACAGAAACACATTTTATATTTCTGAAATTTTACATGTAAGAAAACAAATTGATTATATAGGAAAACTCATTAGGATGTGAACTGTTTGACAAGCAACCTACTTCACTGACCCTTCTGACCTCAGAATCCAGCAAAGGCAGACACTTAATGTATTCGTATTTGCGTTTTAAAGAACATGGTGTTCTTTCTAAGTTCATGTGTTCTATGAGTTCTCTGCTTCATAAGCAAAAGAGCAATATGTTTTTATGCATGTAAAACAAATTTAGTACAGAATGACACACATAGATCAAAATGACCTTTAATTTTAGCTAACAGGTAGTCAACTAATGAGAGTAAAATTAATATTTTCTGTTCATTTTCTTCAACAACAAACTTTAAGCCACTGATTAGCCTTTATACCAGTAAGTGAGAAATATAGACTATCTACCAAGAACATTATTTCATTAGTTTAAGTGATTCTTTCAAAACTTCTAGGAATATCATCTAAAAATATCAAATCACGTAACACAGTCCTAAATTAGTTCCTCATTTCTAGTTAATATGCTCTTCATTTCTTTCTTTTAATTTCATTGGTTAATACTTCTCAGAAAACAGTCAAGCTAGTAGGAAGCTTAAATGAAATTCAAACAGTATCTTTCTATTAAAGATTGTAATGACATTTAAATTGAAATATATTCTAATTTTACCTAATTTCTCAAACACGTTTCACTGTTCTCTCGGTAAGGAACTGCATTCTTACTGTCAAAGCTGAGGGAGAGCATGCTCAAGCCCAGCTGCATTAAGACAGGGCAGCGTGGCTGACGGTTGAAGAGGCTGAGGAAAGGATGGATGGTGCAAATAGCCTCTCGTCTGCAGTCAGACTTCAGGTTTTTATTTTCTTGGATTGCCACAAACCAGTCCTCAGGAATACCAAGAGTCCAGACTGGGGATCCGTAGGAAGTAAATCGGACATCACACTGGGGAATCGCATGGGACCAAACTCTATCCAGTCAGGAGGAAAACAGTTGGCTGCTCTGTGTTTTCTGTTTCTATGTCATTGTGGTCAATCTGTAGCACCCAGGAGAGGGCCAACCTGTAGACTTCCATGAGGTCAGTGGTACCTCAGCTCACCCAGGCAGCTGAGCTCAGAAAGAAAGCAAGCTCCTTTCTGCCAGCTCTTAGACAAGGAAACTGAGTCCTGACCATACTCACTTGAGCATTGAGAAGTTGGCAAAACGGACAAAAGTGAAAAGACGTGTGCTAGATGACATTTATGTCATGTTGAGACCCTTCTCCAGGCAGTGAGACTTAGTACCCAAGCAAACTGGGTGGCAGTGATCACTCACCTCTGACTTCTATTCTGATTTCATTTGTAGTACCTTGTTTAATTGTCAAGAGTTTTCTTAATCTCTAAAGAGACTTTCCTCTGGCATTTGCTTCTGATTTAATGGAGGTCCGTATTTTCTCTAACATTTGAAAATATTAATATTTTTGAGGCGTTTTCTAAACCATAAATAATGTCTAATATTTTTGCTAATTTTGCTCTGTGTTATGTTTTGTGTTGAAGTTTTCCTCCAGGTATTCAGATGTATCTTGTTGTCTGCTGATGTGTTAAGAGTTGAGGATCCAGCTCAGCTTTTTAGAAGCACTGAGCTAACACAGTCATTTGGATTTCATTGTCCAGAATAAGTTCAGCTCAGTAGAGCTTTCTTTTTTGGTCTGAACAGATTGTTCACTCAAACTTTAACTCTGAGTTAAAGGTTAGCTGAAAGAACTAGCCTTGATAAACAGGCGGGACAACAGTGCTATGAGATGCCCAAAGGAGAAAAAATGGAGTGGATAGAGTCAGCCTGAAGCCCAGGGCCTCCATCTACACTCTGCTTCCAGAGAGCTCCCTCCCCTGTACCGCGCCCACAGTCCCTGGAGGCAGAAACCCAATTTTCTTCTCTAGCACGCAGACAATAGGTCAGAGCCAGCCCTGGAGAATCAGGGGTCGGGGCTAGGTGCTTCTTCAGTAGCTGTCACCTCGTCTCCTTATGCACCTCTCCCTCCTTTTGAGGATATCCAGCACGTGGAAACCTTCAGCCTGTTGGGAGCTCTAAAGTAGAAGTGAACTTTGGGCTTGAACTTCTACATGGGCAGTTTAGGACTCAGTTTCCCTCTGTTGTATTAGTTTCACCTCATCAGGATACTGTTTTGTCTCTAAAATTGTGTTGTTCTGCCTCTTCTCCTTTCCCCACAATTATGGGCTCTACCATAAATCTAGAATAATTTTAATAAAATATTGAGAGGGAAATAAATTGAGAGGTGGTGTGTCATCCCCCTGCCTCTATGGATTTACCTAAGTGGTTCTAGTTATTTAAAACAAGTGACCTTAAAACTCTACAGAAGTAACGGCACGGTTCCTCCTTACATTTCTAGAATAAGCTGTACCCGTTGAGTTGCAGTTTAATGTTCTGCTGAATTCTGTTTGGACTAAATTAAATATTTGCCTTAATATAGGGTTTGGACTGGCACTTCCTTTCTATGCAGTCCCCGTTGGGCGGGCATACCAAGGTGGTACTGCTTACATGAAGGACTTCAGCAGACATTCTTATATTGACAGAGCCCACAGAAGTTTGCAGCAGAACTGTCTCGGTTTCAAAACATCCCTCCGGGCACACTGTGTCTGCTTCTTCAGCATACCACTTCTGTTGCTCCTATTTGGTAACTGGTTTGCTGGATCTTTCCTTTCTAAAATGTAGGAAATCATATTTTTGGAGATGTACATGTCTGTTATAGGTTATTCATTTACTTCAATCCTCATATTTAACCGTACAAGATGGAAAAGGTGATATGCTTTCAGTGGCGTCAACGCTGTCAGCGAATGGCTGTTTCTATTTCACATTTCCTTCCTTTTTATTAATCCTCTAGCTGACAATTTCTAGTTTATATTTTTCAAATAATTCATTTCATGTTTATAATTTCTACAGTTATCCTAATACCTAGATATCTATTCTCAGCCCTTACTAATCCCATTCTTTTGATTTCTATGGACAAAGATAATGGTTTTTCTCCCTAAATAATGTTTCCTCTAAAATTTCTGTGGTAGTTTTTGCTTTTGGATTTTTCAAGGTGAATACTTAAGTACCTTTCATTCTCCTTGTTTTGGTCATTAAGCATGTTAATAGTTACAGGTTTTCTCTCAAGGATGATTTTTAAGAGATTTTATTTATTATTTTTATTTTATGTATATAAGGATAGTGCCAGTATGGAGGGCAGGAGGTGCACCCATGCTGTGCAGCCCACAGAGGTCAGTAGAGGGCACTGGAGACCCTGAAACAGGAGGTACAGACAGTTGATGGCCACAATGTGGCTTCTGGGAATCAAACCCAGTTCCTCTGCAAGAGCAGCCAGTGCTCTTAACTACTGAGCCATCTCTCCAGTCCCTCAAGGATGATTTTAATATCTCAAATAGTCTAATAAATATTTTATTTTACTATATTTTTTCAAATAGACATTACATTTTTTTCAAATTGTATTTCATTATTTTAAAACAGCCTTAATATTATAAAATAAGTCATTACCTAAAATCATAACTAATCTAAAAAGAATAATTTTAACTATCTCAATTCTGTGAACCTAAAGAAATCTTCTAAACACCATTTCCATTTTTAGGTGGTAAGGGAACATACTTCCTGATTTTAAAATATACTACAAAACTTCAATAATACAAATAGTATGGTAATAGCATAAAAATAGAGGTACAGACCAATGGAGCCAAGTAGAGAGTCCAAAGTTAAATTCACTGATCATTGACAAGGATGCCAAAACTTAAATGAGGAAAACTGGGCATCCATGTGCAGAAGAAAAATTTGTACACTGCAAAAATCAACCCAGATAAAGGTGTGAAATTATAAAATTACCAGGAGAAAAGCAGTGAAAAGTATTTTGACATCGGCTTGAGAAATGGGTTTTGCATATATCTGCAAGAGCACAGGTAACAAACCTAAACTAAGTACACACCCATCAACTGGTAAAAGGATAAAGAAAAGATCAGGATCCTGTCATTCTGACACAGAGATTTTATGTTCAGTGAAAGAAGTCAGCCACTTTGAAAGACAAGTACTGAGTGATCTCACTAATTTAACATGTAATCTGGAAAAGTTGATGTCATACAAACAGGGAACAGGGCCTAGAGAGATGGCTCAGTGGTTAAGAACACTAACTGTTCTTGCAGAAGACCCAGGTTCGA